AAACTCCATTGATACGGGCGCGCGATCATTGCTAAGCGCGTTGCAATATTGTAACATACCGACATACACATACACCCCTACAATTGATTGTAGCGCGCACATTTACGCGCGTTCGCACGCGTATTCGCATGGTACGTCGCTCAATGCAATCGTTAGGGCGATACGTTTCGTTGCGCTTGCGCGGCGGCATTTTGCGCATTGTGGTCGCATCAGTTACGGTGGTAAACGAGTGCGATCGGTCAGTTAAACGAGCAAAGCTGTTGTTGATGCCGCCGCCACCAGCACCGACGAAGCCATCATATCGCGAGCCCTGTGCTCAGTGCTCAGTGCCCAGTGAATCATCCCGTACAAGCAACGTCCTCCGGTATGCACACTATTTGCCTTCATCGTCGCTCATCGCAGTATCGCAGTTTGTCGTCGTCGTCGTCGACTTGGTCGTCTTGGTCGTCTTGGTCGTTGGTCATTGGCGCTGGAGGCGCTTTGCAGCAGCGGCAGGTTGATAGGTAGGCAGACAGGCGGACTGGTAAGGCCTTCTTCTACCACAACTACTTTGCCCTGGAAAGCTTGTAAGACAAGCGTTCTAACCGTACGCGATGTACTTTTTATCATCCACATTGACCGATCACTGGCTGCAACAATAACAACGGCAATCGCAAATGCATGCCCGTTGTTGTACAAGAGTTCAGCACCACTTCATTTGCATATTGAAGATTTGTGTGGATGATTTAATAAAAGGAATCCGGTGATTTTATCAATAGCGCCCGCTTTTCGCATCCACCGTTCCGGCGAAAGCGTCAAAAGTGTAACACTGATACATTTGGTTTTATGGGCGGGATACTTACATGGAGCTTTTGCAGCTGTTGATCCATGAAAACGAAATGTTAGCAGCGATCTTGATTCAGTTGATATACATACATATGTACGTAAGTATATATGTATAGGTATATTTTTTTATTACTACTTTTTATCTTTATTAAGCGACAATCATAGTCCATCCGGAGAGCATCCAATGACTGCTATCCTGAGATCACATGCTGCTAAAAACTGAATTCTAAGATGGTTAGCTGAGACCACGGCATCCCAGAAGAGACATAACTGAATTTGAGATTTCGCAGCGCGAAAAAAGAATAAATATAATAAACAATAAAAACCATCTCTAGGAAAACATTCACGTAAAGTATTGCCAGGTTTACCAGGGTATTTCACAATTTGCCGCAGGTTTTAAATTTTCATAGCCCAATTTTTAGGTGGAAATACCTTTTTTGAGAAAAAAATTTCAAACCAGACACGCTTAAGATGGGATCCAAGAATCCATTTGTGGTAAAACCGTGCTCACCGCACCTGATTTCGCGCGACCCACGGTACAGCTCTGAAAAACATTGGGATGGGCACAGTATTGTGACCAAAAATTTGTATGTTGGGATGGGCGGGATCAGGATCGAATATGAAGTTCCGCGTTCAACTCTGTGTTCGACTAATTTCTGGGATACAAATTTTTCTTTTCCAAATGACGCACTTTTTCTTTTTAATGAAACAATGAGCAAGGAAACGAAATCTAGGTACGCTTTCTAAGTACAAATCAGACAGAGCGACATCTTCTCAGAGATGTCGCTTGGTCATCACCAGGGCCGTAGAAAATAAGCAAGAAAAAATCAATTTTAAGCGCTTAGATAAGCACTAAAACATTGGTAAATATGCCTGCAAAAATGCTCGCATACCAACAAAAATTAAGTTCAGTTAAATGCTTTGTTTTTTTTTTACTCAGTTTATTTCAAGGATTGAGAAATTGCAATGGACACACATGTGTTGCTTGATATTCTCAAATAATATAGGTCGGCGCTGGTCATTTTAATTTTTTTAAATATTCGTTTGAGATGAATAATTTTTAATCACTTCAATAACACCAATGCCTTCCCGTAGAGATGAACCATTGGTTTTAAATTTTTGTATCTAAGCAGAAATGCAGTTGAAGTGAAGGGTTAATAAAAACCAAATCTGCATTTATGTTATTATTTGTATTAATATATCTTTAGTTCGACGAATAAAAAAGAAGCCCAAAGAATTGTCAAGAAAAATTTATTGAGCCAAATTTTTTAAAACGAAATTCTTAAGAAATTTGCTACTCTTTCGACTATGGTTTGCTAAAGTTTGTTTGTGAAGAGTACAAGCCACCCTTGTTTTCATTCCATTATTTCGTAAGGAAAATAATGGCATAATATCAGAGGGAAAAACTCCTTGGACACTACTATTCACGCACACGAAATACCTAAGAGGAATTTATTTTATTAGTAAAATAAGCTATTCCAAGCAAATGCTCTAACTTTTCGGCCCTTGGTCATCACATTAAAAAATTTCGCCGATCAAATGAATTGGACATATGTGAAAAAATAGGTAAATTTCAAGGTCAGTTTGAGTACATACCATTGCAATTTGTGTGTTTTAAAATTATTTAGGGTTTCGATTTTGATCATTGTTACATTGGACTGCTGCGGCACTGAAACGGCTCCAAACTAATTTTTCTCGACATATTTTAGTTCTAGCAATGATTGAGTGGCAATCGGGGTGCTGAGCTTATTGAAGGGGTGAGCGCAGAGTATATGTCCTCTCTCTCTCAATTGCGACTCTCTCCCTTAACTATAGTTATATTCGTAACAGGCTACAGCGGCATTGCGGGAAACTGCGCGGCTGACGACTTGGCGAGAAAAGGTACATATTCTTGAAACGAAACCAGCGGTTTACTCTTGAAAAGTTGAGTCTCATGTGAGCTGAGCGAACGTTGTTGGAAAACTAGGACATGCGCAATTGTAGGAAGCTAGTTGCCCAGGAAGCATCGTACCCAGTCAAAGGAGCTCATTGTACTTGCAAACCTACAGTTCCCGCTATTCCGCGGTGAGAATCAAAATAACACCCGATTCTAAAAGTTGCAAGAAGTATAATATCTTTGATTATCTTTCTATTAGGCTAAGGTTTAATCATTTTGGCTCGCATTTTGCAACCAAAAGAACTCTCGCGGATTGGTTAAAGACGTATTCGTAATTTCGCTATTAGCTCGTGGCAAGTTTGTCTCATACTGAAGACGACCACCGCAACCTAACTCTAGATCGATTGAATATGGCTACCTTCATCGCCATTTTCTAGTTGGTTATGGGCCATCCAGGGCCTCCAGTACTGCTGGAGTCAATCGCTACTTTTGAACCGCTACTTGCACCGACTCCTACTCTATTAACCCGTGGTAGTGCACATGGTAGTGCAGAGTCAAACCAGTCGTAAGCAGAATAGCGAAAAACTACGACAGAGGGCGCCCATAAATCACGCAAGTGACTACTTTAGTAACACCCGGTAGTGCAGAGAGAGCCTAGAACATTGCCTTGTAAAAGTAATCGATGAAATACACTGCAAGTAGTCGGTGGGTAATTGACGGTGTTTATCAGGTAGCTACCGATTCAGCAGTCCTGTAGTCACTCCCCCGTACTGCAGGGTGGTTATGGCCTTTACTCTATATGTATAAATTTGTAAGATTACTGCTAATAAACACGCTACTTCCATATGGAGACAAAGAAATAAGTCGCGTGAAACATGAAAATTGAAGAATTAACTCAAACAAGGAAACTTGTGAAAATCTCAAGCTATCGTGAAAATCGTAGACCACCAAAATTTTTTTAAGAGTGAGTCATCAACTGAAAGTTAGCAAAAAGTTTCCACGTGCAACATAACCTCTAATTGCACCTCGCCGTGTTCACACATACATATGTATGTATGACCTGCATACATACGTACAAGCATGCAACAACCACCTTTTCAGAGGATATATTGAACAAACAACGATGGAAATGTGGCAAAAATGGTAATGAGATGAAAGAAGTCCGCCTTCAAAGTTATTGTGGTTGTGCGGCAAAGGGTCTTGCGCCGCAATACGTCATCAGTTCCACCCGGTGGCAAAAAGGGCAGATGTTGACTTTGCTGCGGCAACGTACGTACACCTTCCTCCAACCATTTTCATATGCTCCATTTTGTTTTTTTTTCTTGTTTTTTTTGAAGCAGCACACACACACTCACACGTAGATTCGCGAACATTTGATTTTACATAAATATGTACGTCTGTGTATTTTAAGCGAATAGTACTCGCATGAGCACGTTTGGCGGTGCGCCTCGGCAATCAGTGTGCCGCGCTTGACGATTTGGAGACTGCTGGCTGGCGGTTGACGGCCGCTGGCGTGTGGTGGAGAATGGCCATGGCAGTCAATAATTTCGCACACGTAGACACGACATATTACACATACGTTAAAAATGTTAAGTGAATATATGTACAAATGCACAACAACAACAACGCCAATAAAAGCCAAAACAATAAGAGACACCGCAACAAAGTCACAAAAGTACTAGGCGTCTGCGTCTGCGTCTGGTGACAGCGCCGCCGCCTACCCTGCAATGTTTCACATTCACCCAAGTATGACGATGATGACAAACAAGGATTCCAAACTCAGATACCTGGATTCTTTTGGATAATTAAAAGCACTTAAGTTGGAATTTTTTGGGTTTTGTTTTTCTTGAGAACCGCCCGAGTTGGCCAACAGTCCAACGCGACTTGTGACTTTAATCACGAATGTAAGCTGCGCGCTTTGGCCCAAAGAACTACCAAAAGCTGTGTGCGCACAAACAATGGGTTTGGTTGGGCAGCAGCAGAGCGACAAGCAACGGCCAGCACAACTAAATAAACATAATTAAAAAATATATTGTTAAAAATTAAAAAAAAAAGAAAACAAACATAAATAACTAGAGCTGCCTTGAGCGTGCCGGCCGGCCGTACACTATTTGCGCTATTTATTCATACATCTGATCTGTACATAAATGTATTCATATGTTCGCACGCCAAAAAATGGCATTTTTTTTTTTTTGTTTTTTGTTGTGTGGTTGACTGCTTCATGGGAGAGCGTTTTACGAGTATGCCGTCTGGTTAAAAGCCTAATTTGGCTAGGAGTTACACACATTCATTTCATTATGACAGCAGGCGTTTGAATGCACAAGCATGTAGGTACGTATGTATACATATATGTATGTATGTAATTATAAGTACATATTAATGCGTATGTGGCTGCACTGCGGAATATGCGACTATTTCTTTGAAATCGATCTGATCATAATATCTGGCTGCATATGGCTTTGCTTTGCCACGGCCAGCCAAGAAATATTTCTCTACATACATACGTAGTACTTAGTAGAATTTAGATGTATGACTACTGCCAGTCTCATAATCGTTACTATTTTAATATGTGCAATTATAAAGGAATACTTTGTAGTTAAAAATAGTCAAAGTGAGCTTGTTATTCTTCGAGTTAAAGACGCAGCGACTAAAAGTTCATACAAGCAGGTGAATTGTGAAAATATTTTCATAGGAGTACACTTGAGATGAGGTGTGTAAGACCACCATAAAATACATACATATTCACTCTACCCACTGGGCTATGGAATTGGTACGTGCAGACGTCGTTTCTTAGTCAGCCAGCGAACCTTGCATTGCAGTGGGTCCCAAAACGATTTGGGAAGAGCGCTCAAGAAATAGAAAGAACCGGTTCTGTTGAGTCCGGTTCCAACGAGAACCGGGTTATTGGTTCGGTTCCGGTTTTCAAAATGGTGGTAACAATAGATTATAAAAGACCTCTCCGAGCCATTTGCTACCAAACGGGGTATCAGACAAGGCGACTACCTTTCGTGTGATTTTTTTAATATGCTGTTGGAGAAGATAATAAGAGCCGCAGAGCTGAATCACTCAGGAACAATCTACTACAAGAGCGTGCAACTGCTGGCGTATGCCGATGACATCGACATCTTCCGGGTCCGGTGGTAAACGAGGACAAGACGAAGTATCTACTGTCAACAAACAAACAGTCAGCGCATTCACGCCTTGGCACCCACGTCACTGTTGACAGTTATAAATTCGAGAAAGCAGAAAATTTCGTTTACTTGTGAACCAGCATTAACACCGATAATAATGTCAGCATCGAAATCCAACGCAGAATCATCCTTGGCACCAAGTGCTACGTTGGCCTGAGTAGGCGATTCAGAAGTAAAGTCCTCCCTCGACGTACGAAAATATTCAACTCGGAACCAGCTGGTGGCAGCAGAGGATGAGGGAGGTCCCCACTGCGATGGAAAGACCAAGTGGAGAAGGACTTGGCATTTCCAATGATCGGCACTTGGCAAAGAAGAGAAACGACTTACGTGCTTTGTTGAACTGTGCCAAAATCGCTTAGGTGGTTACAGTGCCAATAAGGAGGAAGATGTATGCATTAATTTGCATTTATCTATGTATGTATTTCAAAAAGTTCACTTCCACTTCCTCTAATTTTTGCTTGCCGAGTCTTACTGGTAAAGCTTTTAAAATTTCCCATAAAAAATATAGCAATCTAAGATGTCTCTGCCTAGCAAAATACATTAATGTCTCAATGCATATATTCGTAGTCTTTGTGCTTGTTTGTATGTATGTATGTATGTAAAAAATATTTTTCACTTTGCATATCTCCTAAAAAATTGCATTAACCTTTCGCAAGCCTGGTGGGGTCTCAGAAGATCACAATTATTAGAAGCTGAAATTCATTTAATTCTGAGTTTAGATCCCTCGATTTGTGTGTCACAATATCTAGAAGCAGGGCAAGGATCGGCGAAATACGTAGAAAACGTTTTAGGCGCCAAACATTCATTTATTGGAATCAAATATGATTCTATTTTCCTGTTATTATCCTTTTCATCCTCAAATAATCTATGATATAACTTTGAAACTCTTTTACCAGAGCAACAAAATCAACCATTTTTAGAACTTGTGTCTGTTTGTCTATCCGTCTATCTGTATGTTAGTACGCGCATCACTCGAAAACTAATGGATGGAATTGAATTCAGTTTTCACCGGTGCACTGCTGCGTAAGATCTGGATTAAAATATAGGGGAAAAATACATTGATAAGATAAAGTAAATATTGCAATATGGCTGCCAAACGAAAGAGGTTTAAGAAGGCTTACAGTCGAAAACATTTTTGTTGAAGGTTGCCACCTGTTTGGAAATTTTAATTTGATTTACTTGATAATAGGGCTATTCGCGATTCGGTGCATAAGAGCTGACAAATTGATGCAATTGCAGAAATATGCCATGAATTGTGAGCGACCTTTATTAAACTGTCATGGTAAAACTATTTTAATCAGCTAATAGAAATGTCAACCAGAGTTGCAATGCATAGCATTTTTATGCTATGGATTTTCGGTATTGCAAATTTGTCAAGCCATGACAAATGCAAATGCGTATATTTTGTTTGTGTATTGCAAATAATTTGCAATACAAATTTGCAATGCAATGTTGCTAGGCCATTTGCACCGGATCGCGAATAGCCCTAATATAAATTAAATATTGCAATATGGGTATCAAACTAAAGAGGTTTAAGAAAGCTTTCTGCCAAAAAAAAAACAGGCTTAAGAAAGTTTAGAAAATATTTTTGTAGCGGGTTGCCACCTATTCGAAAAACTTTATTCAGTTAAATAATGCACCTTTGAAGAGAGTGCACTATAAGTAGAATCAAGTTAAGAGTATAAACTCAATTTCCAGGATTAAATAACTTCGAAAATATAGTAACTAACACCCTTATTCACAGCAAATAAAGTATATTTCATAAATCGAAAATTTGTTTGAGAATCTCACTTCATAAAGCTCTTCAAATCTATTATTTTTCTTATGAATGAAACCACACGAGTTTTGCCCGCGAAGTGTAGTAGGCCGGGTTTTTGATTGTATCTAGTAAAATTGTAACATTATAAATATTAAGAAAAACTAATATGGCGGGATTTTATGGGAACACCAGAAGCCAAATCAACCATTTTTATAATGGCTAACATCAATTATTGTATACACATAAAGAAATTCTTTATTTTTCTTGTTTCATATCTTCATATAGGCCGTAACGCGTAGCTTCCCATTTTGGGGTGTTCTAGACCCCATCAGTCTAAGTGACGTTAATATCTGTTCACCCCAGTCTTAGGAAAGGTTAAACAGTAACGCATAAGTTAACGATTTAACGCAATTACGGCGAGTGTTTCGGCCTTAATAAGGAAACAATAACATAAGTAGAAAAATATAATTATAAAAACATACATACGTACGTACACACACAAAAGCACATACTTATGTTTGTCTATATGTATTCATATTTTGCCTGTTGGCTCGCACTTCATTCACAATAAAGCTGATGCCACATAAAACTTTTGCTTCGCTTTACATGACAGATTCGCTTTGACAGATAAGATGAATTGTATGAAAATGCACAAAGCATGCCACATAAATCGTTGAAGCTGCAGCGCGAAGCGAAAAGATGGCCAACTCCCATCTTTTTGCGCGCTTTGACAATCAGCCGGTTTAATATTTATTTTGTTTCGTCCAAATTCGGGGTTTCATGCAGAAACATAAAACTTAATTACATTGCTGATAATTTTAAAGCAAAATATATAAAATCCACAGCAACTTTTACGAGTAAAACAGCGGTACAAAATTGCTTTCTTGGCGTTCATTGTGGCATACCTTTTGCGTCTGACGCTTTGGTGGCAAAGTTATAAATGTCACGCAAAGCTACAAAGTTTTATCTGGCATCAGCTTTAGCCACCATCAGCGATTGGAGGACCGACGCTGGTGGCGATCGAAGCTCCTTCAACCCAAAGTGCTTTGAAGCCGGAATTTTTTGGAAAAGATAAAGGTACATACATATTTTCACAATTTTACTCTACATATTTATTTGCTTGTTAGCGAAAAGTAAACAACGCAATCATGGAAACAAGTACTTACCGCGTACGCGTAGTAGGAGCAATGAGTCTGTAGAAGCAGAACAAAACACGACTGCAAGCCCAAATACGGTACATATGTATGTATGATTGTAAGTATTTATTGCAGGGTGGTCCGAAAATAGATGCGGGGGAAAAGGTTTAAAATGTTAAGCTCTCACAACCCCAGGAATTTTCCAAATGGATAAAAATGATAGCCGATTTTTTTTGTCCAAAAAAATAATAATATTTGGAACTGCCTCAGAGTTCATGAAGTTATTTATGTATTTTATATGAAAAAACTCGTTTTCGTACAAATGGTATAGAATTCTTGAAAATCAATATTTTTTAGCCGAACCCTGCAAAAATCGCGACTACTCCATGCATGCGTGTAAAGAGTACTCCCTAAGGACCAAGGAGTACTCCAAAATTAACCACAATTCATATAAAAAATATGGTCCAATTAACATTGCGATGTCCTAGGGCAGGACCATATACTCCATCCCCGCATTACATCAGAGTAGCACAAAACTACTCCAACATAATAACAATGGCATTGTTGCTATATTTTTTCGTTTGTACACGCTTTTGTTCTTCACTTCTCAAATACTTTTTCGAAATTAATAAAAACCAAGACAAAAATTAAAAATTATATGTTGCCTCTGACGGTATTCGAACCCGAACATGCTGGGAGCTAAGAACTAACAGCGAGCATCTCTACACGTTCAGCTACAGCCAGACATGCAAATGTGCTTTCAAATGCTCAACTTCAATCACGTTTCGTTAAAACACGAGCAGTGATCGGATAACAAACAATAAGCGAGCGCAGAGACACCAGTTGGCACGCTACAGCATGACAGAGGAACACTTTTGTAAGTACTCCAATTTACCACAAATAGACTACATGATCCAACGATTTTTGCAGGGAAAGCTATGTTTCTCTTTAGGAGACTTCCAAAAACAATACCCAATTGTTTACTTAGCCATTTCTTAATATTATTATAGGTCTCCCAAACCCCCAAAAAAATACAATAGGGTGAAAAATCGTTATTATTAAAAAGTTGGATATTATTACAGGAAATCTCCTGACGAAAAACAGAGAATTCCGATCGAAAAAATATTGTTTTCAAGAATTCTATATCTTTTCTATGGAAATGTGTTTTACCGCATAAATGGGAAACTTCATTAGGTTTGAGGCAGTTCTAAATATATATATTTATTTTTTTTTTAACAAAA